ATTGACTTGCCATATGATAAACACTTAAGCCTTCATATATCTTTAGTCACAGGAAGAGCCTTATTAACGTCAGTGACCACATCTACATGAGACACTGACTACGCAGTAGCCTGAGACTACTGCTTAGTAGTGTTGCACGACAGAAATCATGGCATGACATTACTTTGCATTAGTCTTAAGCTACTGCACAGTCAGCAACACAAAAAAGCCATTCATCAGCGCTATGCACAGTAAAGTGCATTTATCTATAAACAACTACTAAATGACTGTGTAGTAAAGCAGTGTCAGCATCTCGTGTAGATGCAGCCAGTATTTCTCTTTTCTTATTTTCATACACTACTTTCAGTGATGAATTTAGGAGCTGTGTGTGTGAATTTTCCTGAGGCAAAAAAATTTTACTAGTTTTTAAAAAACAACTTTTTACAAATAAACCCAACTGAATCAGGACAGTATACTTATTTCTAGCTTAAGAAGTTCAGAGAAGAGGCAACCAGAAGAAACAGTAAATGGCATAGTTTTATTAGGCTTTACAAATCAATGTGAATGACCTCAATGTACAACCTTGGACTGGTAAGATATATTGTATAATTTGGATGCACTATGATCTCCAAAGATGATTCATATTTTAATCTTTTTAACTATGTATTTTCCCCCTCCTTCCCCTCCTGATTGTCTTCTTTTACCTGCCCATGTTCAGTTGTGCTTTTGATAGACTATGGGGTGGCTCTAAAAAAAAAAATCCCTTCTTTTTTTCATCCACTTAGGCAAAGGGCACAAATAGAGTTGAATTTTAAGGATAGATTTCCACAGTACAACTGTCTAGAATACCTGCAGAATACCATATGCTGCATATTTTAAGAATTTGCAGAAGACCTCAAGAGATCTGGAGCCAAGTGGGAAAAAATCTAAGAACTGCTAGTCTTTATTGGGTAAATAAGGCTTGAACTGAAGTACTAGACACACACAGCTACTACATTTTGGGTAACTGGGATTGCCAAGTAAACAGTGAGGTTCTATTTTCATGTTGAATAGAGTGAAGTATCTGTTATCTTTTCCTTTTCTTCCTTCTCCATAGCTAGTAGGTAATTACTTTTGCTTCTCGACACCCCACAGAATACATCCAGAACCACTTCCACTGCAGCTATTTGAGTTGGTAACTTTACCATCACCCTTATTTCAAGGAGCATTGTGTTATTTAGAAGGTAGCAGTGCAACAGAGCGGTAGCCAGCATCCCCGGAGTTCTAATTCAAACTCTGACTTTTTCTGTGTTTATGTGGATCACTCATCATGTCCCTATCCCCAATAATAGCATAGCACAGTCCTATTTATCCATGTCAGAAAAAGCTTTAATAATAACAAACTGCTTTGAAAACAAATTATACTCCATTACATGCAGTGACATAACTGGCCAATGCTAGGTACTAAGTAGAACATAAACTTTTTCTTTTAAAAGTAAAAAAGTGAATGCAATGCTCTCGATAATGAGAGTCCCAAGGGAGCTTCATACAGCAACAAATAATGTAAATCAGCAGCCCTCATACCAGAAGAAAGGAGATTTTTTTGGTGATACCTTTTAGTGATGGTGATGAAGGTACCCAAGAAATGGGAGACTTGAGTTCAGCAACATTCTTAGTCTGAGAGGACTGAAGCCAACAACTTTCACCTTCCAGGGGAGCATCCTAAGCACTAGATTATGGGCAATTCTATATGGAGGTTGGAGGTGGTAGGACACTACCCAACCTGCTGGGTGATGTTTGAAACTGGAACTTTCTGTTCCAGAGACACAGAGAACACCAACAGGAGTTTGTCTGTCTAGCATAGGGTGGAATTCTATTTCCTTTTATGCATCTAAATGGTAACTTTTTAGCCACAAAAGTGGCAAGAATGCCACTTACACACAGAGAGCCATTTTATTTCCCTAACAGTGTGCATGTATAGACTGGTCATATAAGTAGGGTGCACACTGCCCAAACTTTTCTGTGGCTCTATACATGCATCCATTGCAGATGCTTACTGGTGTCCACTGGCAAAAAATGAGGCAGCTATGGTTGAAAGAGAACAAGGGCCTCCCCAGTAGACAAGTGGTTAGGCCTTTCAACCATGAAGCCAGAGTCACATGTTTTAGGGCCCTCTCACATAAAGTGGGTATGAACCTGCAACTTTCTGATACAGTTCTCAAATCCATACACCACTGATAAGACACTATGCAGGCCACTCTTCAGCACTCCTTTTGAAGTTGGCCCCCTGGACAGCCAAGAGAAGGAGACAGCCAAGAGGAAGAGAACAAGCTGGAGGATATATGATTGATGTGATAAGTACTATCCTGCAAAGGAGCAGGACCTGGGCTCTAGCCTTACTCCTGATGGGACCTTCCCTGTTGTATCTCCCTCCATCCATTGTCTATCAAATGCAAGGGGCAGTCATTCAACCTCAAAAGGAGTGCTGGAGATATGAGTGGGTAAAAAATCATTCTGACCACTAGGACAGTGGTTAGATCTCTCGACTAGGACAAGTCAAAAGACAAAAATTCAAACCCTCTCTGGGAAAGGGGGATAAGGACCCAGGTCTCCAGCAGACTAAGTGATCTAGTCTAACCACTAAGCTACTGGGGTTAAAACATGGAAACCACCTGCCAGTTTTTTTGAAGAAGGTGTATCATACTGGGTCTACATACTTGCATGGGCTTGCACAATGAAAGCATACAGTGAAGGCCAGAAATGGCTTGGTAGGCAACTAGAAAACTGCCTCTTAGATGTGTAAAGTAAATAAGATCCCACCTCAGCGGTTATGGCACTCTCTGGTGAAGTAGAAATACTTGGGTTCCAGTCCCTGCTTCCAGGACTGTTTATCTTTTTCACATTAAACAGACTTGTGATAAAATACAGAAACAGCCCTGGGAGCAGAGACTGGAACCTGAGGCTTCCCTTTCCCAGGATAGTGACCTCAGTGGGGAATTTAAAGATTATAATCACAGGGTTGTGTGGCCCATCCACTGTATGAATACAGGAATGCTATTCCCAAATCATCTCTAGCCAATGCTTATCCAGTCTCCTTTTGAAAACTTCCGGTAAAGGGGATTCCACAAATTCCCTGGCAGTCTAACAGTAAGGAAGTTTATCTTAAGATCTAAACTAAATCTACTTTGTTGCAAATTAAACCCATTTCTTCCCATCTTAACCTCTGGAGCGAGAGAGAACCATTGTTCACGGCCTTATTTCTGGTGGCATTTCAAATATTGGAAAACTGCTGTCATGTCTCAGAAACAGGGGCCCCTAACCCCTGTTGAGAAGAAGTTGAGTTCAAGATACAGAGCCATAAGATGTAGGTTTAAAATCTGTAAGCTGCAACGCCACTGGCCATAAACCACACACCACAAGGTTGTAAACTTCAGGGGCATAAGCATCAAGCTACAGGAATCCTGATTACATAATTGGGACTCCTTGCCATATTAATCCCTGGGAAAAGGGAGAGGCCCCTTTTAAGCCAAGAGTGCTGTGGCCAGAAGGGGCAGAGCCAAGGGAGGTATAAGATGAGCTCCAGAGCAGAACAAGGCAGCTTGGCCCAGGCTGTGTTCCTGGAAGGAACTCCCTGAAGACCTGCAGGCCTGGCGACTGTGCAGAGCCTGGGGAGTGCTTGAAGAGTGAAGGAGATAAGAGGAGAGAGAACAAGGAGAGAGATCAATTGGATTATATTTATTGCTAACTCCGGGCAAAGATGTTGTGAGGTATGGGGCGATTATCAGGGGAGAAAGGAAGCCATTGGAGGTATTCAGGGAAGAGAGAGAGATGTGTTTCTGTTTACAAGTTCTTGTGGGAAGCCCAGCTATGTGGGAGAACTGAGTGGATTAACTGAGGGACAACAAGCCCTGGAAGTAAATTGAGGGACTAGTCCCAGTATGGACTCCTTGGACGTGTTCCCGGGGTGTGCATGTGTAAGAGTGCATGCCCCACATGGGAACATTTGTTCCACTACTATTTGTCCTTTGGCAAACCTGCTATTTGTGCTGTTGCTGTTTGTCCCCTGGCATGCCTCTGCGCACACGCTCTAGCAGGTGCCTTGGCTGTGGTAGGGGAAACTGGGGGCCAGCACCTGGGCTGGCCCCAGCAGTCTTACTTGGGGTCCAGGAGGCCTCCCAGGGCAGCAGTGACACCGAGCCAGCTACCCGGAGCCTGGCCAGCAGCCAGAGCATGGCTATGGCCAGCTAGGCTCCCTTTTTTGGCAGTGCATGCTCCTGCCATGTGCACTGCACCCAGGTGTGGCTGGTGAACTCAGACTGGTGGGGTGGGTGGAGCGGCAAATGGAAATGGGGGGTGGAGGGGGTGGTTGCAGCTGGGCAGGAGTGAGGGGGAGGGGGTTTACAGCCAGCTGGGAGAAGAAACAACATTGTTGGGGGAGTCCAACTATACTAGAATTAAAATAATGAAAAGAAAATACAGCTTGTAATGTTCAAATTTTTCTTTGTGTTTTGTCAAATCTACTCAGTTGCTCATTCTGGAGGCAATTTTAGAAGATATCCTTCAGGAATTACTTCAATGGAGCCTGGGTTTATAAATCTTTATAAGCTCTGTGTTGCCAAGTTCCCAACAATAAATCTCTTTTGTATGGTGTTTAACATGTATGATTGATGTTGTATCAACTTTTCTTAATCCATTTTTCTGTTATAGGTGCTGCCATACTTCATCAACTTCTTGTTACCATTGTCCATACAGCTTGATAATTTTTTGCAAATAAATATTTTTATTGAATTAAGAAAACATATACTGACATTTTCTACATATAATTTAGAGCAAAACAACCTGTTCACTGTCTTTACTTTGGCCTTTTTGCAAGTTAATCAGGAAAGAAGTATTAAATGAATGTTTAAGTTTAAGTATGAATGGATGAATAAAGCAGCTTTCATTTTACATTTGAATACACAAGCCAAAAACATGTATATAATTTCCGTCCTATTTTTCTAACTGAAAACCACCATTGGATTAGCGTCTTATAATCAGATGTGCTATTGGTTTTGAAGAAACAGATTAGTGGTATAGAAATGTGGCTGGAATATTTTACCCAACAGAATATGCCTTAGTGCTTTACGAAACCATGGGTAGAAAAAACCATATATTAATGGATTACAGGTGGAATTAAAATAGCCAAACCATGTTAGGGCATCAAACAATACAGCAGGAGTAGAAAATTTTAAAAATGGGTCAACTAAAATGGTAACGAAACAAGGAAACCAGCATATCAGGAAAACCCCCATAACTATACTCAAAGTCTTAGCTGCTTTTCTGTCTTTATTCTTGGAAAGTTGATTTTGCTTTTTATCATTTTCTTTTTCAGGCACATTGTTCATAAAATGGGCATGTTTTTTGGACACTGCAAAAATTTTGACATATATTCCTGTCATAACACAGCCAGGAACAAACAAACCAAAAGTAAATAAAATTGTTCCCCATAATTTGTTGAACATAACTGGGCAGGAACTAGAACATTCTACTAGTATCTCATAGCCCTCTATTCCAGAAGCATATGCTTTTGAGAAAACCACCCCAAAAGCAAAAGCAGCTGGCACTGACCAACAAACTGCTAGAAACCCTCTTATCACCGAAAAAGTCATTTTGCTTGAATAATGCAAAGGGTGACAGATAGCATAAAAGCGATCAATGGCAATGCAACAGAGATGGAAGATGGAAACTAAACAGAGCATGAGGTCAAAGCTGTAGTGGACTTTGCAGAAGGTGATGCCAAAATACCAGCAGTTCTCCACGGACCTGATCATGCTGTAAGGCATAATGGCAAATCCCAGAAGAAAGTCTGTGACTGCCATTGACAGAATCATGAAATTGGTTGGAGAGTGCAGCTGCTTAAAATATGAGATTGAAATTATTATAGCCAGATTCCCAGTGACAGTGATGATGATAGCCATGAGCATGAATAAATACATTGCTCCTCGAACACCTGCTGACCTGAAGTCTTCAGGACAAGATCCATTTCCAAATTCAGAGCAATCAATAATATCCTTTGTGATGTTAGAAAAAGTCATTTTCCTTTATTATGTATTTTGTATATTATTATGGCTTTAGTATTACAGGCATGGCTTTATATGCAGAATTAATATTCATGAGTTTTCCAAATGACTCCAACTCCTAAAATTAAAATACAATATAAAATTAATAGGAAGTAACCATTAGGCATTGTTTAAAGTAATTTTGGGAGAACTACTGCCCCAACTTAAGTAAAAGGCAAAAATCCTGTTGACGTCAATCATCCCATGTTTTCAGTCATTTCTCTAAAAGATGCTAAGGAAATATACCTTCATATAATGAAAATTGATTTAAAATATCATATTTTAATTAAAATGTTAAAACCCCTGTATTTTTTTCAAATTAAATGTTTTAATTAACATTTTTTCAAATGTTAAAGCAGTAACATTTTTCTTTTTTTGCAATCTATTGCTTGTATTATCCAGAGGTTCCTTAAATGTGAACCTTGCATTTCCTAAAGAGATTGGTATCATCTACCGTATTTATTCAAATACAAAATGAGGTTTTGTTCCCCAATCAGTATGGCGAAAAAAAACCCTTTTCTTATAACTGTATACAAGAAAGCCACATTAAATGATATTATCTATCATTAAGCTGCTGCCAAAAGTAGCATGTGCTCAATAATGGAAACCAACTACAGAGCTGGTTAAATGCAGCCAGCATTGACCATGAGTATAAAACACATGGCCCACATTGGGCAAACATACTGATAGGAACGTGTGGCCCTTAAAAAAACAAGGCAGTTGCTCCCCCAGGATGGGATGAGCACCAGACCTAGTGGCTGGCATGATGCTC